GGATGGGGAAACACCTCTTATCAACAGGGTGCCTGAATGAAACATAATTGTACACCTAACCCTTAATTGTACCCCACAAAACCCTAATAAAAAATATTGATTATGAAAAAAAAAAAAACTTATTCTTGGTAGAAATTTGGAAAGAGATGCAAATGGCAGCTGCTTGAAACTCAGGGATATTTGCTCTTTTTACAGCTGGTCCAGGTCAAATGGGTTTTCAGTTATTCTCTTTGTATTTTCTGTCTTGACAGCAAGCTGTGGTGGGGCAGATCTGTTTTCCATAATGACTGATACTTTTCTGCAACATGCAACAAGGTCGTGTGATACATTCTTGAAGATGTTCATCTGGCTCTGTGATACATTCTTGAAGATGTTCATCTGGCTCGTCACATTTCCAGATATACCTAATGTCATCAGATCCACTGTAGAAGCAACCTGAAAAACAAAGAGCACTGGCTTTTACTTCTCAGTTGGAAAATGGAGAGTGTTCTAATCTTAAGGTACTGTGTAGAAACCCCACGCTCCATAGTTAGGTACAAGACATGGCACCTAGCACAAGACAAGGTACCACAAGGGATGAAATAGAAGGCACTGTCTCAACTACAAGGAGTCTATTATCTAATGGAGAAGTCAGATCAAGCAAAAAACAAACAAAAACAGATGTGTATAAAGAGAGAAGGGAGTAAATGCAATAATACTCTGAAACAAGCACATAATATGCATCTCTGTCTATAGGAATACACATGCAAGTATGACATCCATAACATATGAGGAAGAACACATAAATAATAACAAGTATTGGTGAAGATGCTGAGAAATTAGAATGCTCATATGTTACAGTTGGGAATGTAAAATGGTGCAGTTGCTGTGGAAAACAGTTTGGCAGTTCCTCAAAAAATTAAACACACCAAACACACTCCCAGGGACACACTCAAGGGAATTTAAAACAGGTATCCAAGAGCCTTGTACACAAATGCTCACAGCAGCATTATTCGTAATAACCAAAAGGGAGAAATAACTCAAATGACCGCTGGCTGATGAATGAATTAAATGTGTATATCTATACATTGGAATAAAAATAATAAAGTGCTGATATATTCTATAATGTGGAGAAACCTTGAAAACAATTGTGCAAAGTAAAAGAAGCCAAACACAAAATGCCACATCGTATAAGATTCCATTTATACAAATGTCCTTAATAGGTAAGACAATAAAGAGAGAGTGAAAGTAGATTAGTTGTTCCCAGGATTCCAGAGGAAGGAGGAATGGGGAGTGCTTGCTAATAGGTATGGAGTTTCTTCTGGTGTGATGAAAATTCTGGAATTCTGAAATTCTTCTGGACTTTGATAGTGCTGACAGTTGCACAACTCTGTGAGTTTACTGAAAACCACTAGCTTTTAAAGGATAAACTTTATGGTATAGAATTTATATCTCAATAGAGCTAGTATTAAAATTCGTTTTAATTTAATTTCTTACCACAAAAAAAAAATTTCCACCTCAAAAAAAGAATAATACTAACAACAAATGGTAGGAGAGAACTTTGGGAAGTGACAGATATGTCTGTGGCCTTGGTGGGAGTGATGGTTTTGTGGGATATTCTTACCCCAAGTTCATTGAGATGTATGGATTAAATATATACAGTTTTTTCTATGTAAATCACACCTTTAAAAAGTGGTTTTAAAAGATCAAAAGATAAAAATAACTATGATTAGATTTAATACAAGGGAGAAAATATTTAATGAAGTTGTTAGTGGGACAGCAGAATAGGTCATACAGAAGTCTTTTTTTGTTTTTATCTTTTTTGAGTTGGAGTCTCACTCCATCATCCAGGCTAAATGGAGTGCAGTATGCTCATGGCCACCCCAGCATCAACCTACTGGGCTCAGGTGATCTTTCCACCTCAGCCTTCCAAGTAGCAGGAACTACAGGTGCTCACTACCACACCTGGCTAATTTTTTGATTTATTGTAGAGATGAGGTCTCTCCAAGTTGCCCAGGCTGGTCTCAAACCCATGGGTTCAGGCAATCCTCTTACCTCTACCTCCCAAAGTGCTGGGATTACAGGCTTGAGCCACCGCACCCAGTCAGAAGTCTTTTTAAAATAATAAATTATAGTACATTAAAACATTGTATGAAGGTGATATGCTGCTGTCCCCAAATTTAATTTTTTCCCAAGACTTTGTATTGATTTGTACTTGTTTTCAAAATGCTGCCCATGTGGCATCTGTCACCCCATTGATTGCTGGGGTTGATTTGGCTGATCTAACTGGCTAGGCGGGTATCCCCTTCCTCCCTCACTGCTCCACATGGGTCCCTTCCAAAGCTGCGTGCTTGGTCAAAGAGGACGACCATCCCCACAAGAGGAGGGCTGTTCTTGGGTCAAGGGTATACAAGTAGCTGTGCTACCCTGCTAAAACCTCCAAGTACACTCTCAAAATGCTACTAGAGGTAAGTGATTCTGGGCTTGGACTAGCGAGTCAGAAGACTGGACAGGAGTGAACATATATATCATGATTTATAAAGAAGAGAAGAGGCAAAAAGGCCAAGAAAAATACTGACTTTCACACCAAATAAAAATCCCAAAACACAAAGCAGATGAAAAGAACAGGCTAGAAGGCCCCAAATAAAAGCAGACAAAATAAAATGTGAAATAAAAACAACAGTAATGAAAACCAAATACCAAATAGTCATTCTTTTGTTTACAACCAATTATTAAGTTATAATTATACTTCAATTATTAAAACTAAAAATTAATGTTATGCAGAGTCAAGAAAAGTATTATAATGGTTTAACACTAGAAATTCAAAGGTAAATTAAAATTTATACTCACTGGGTAAGTGAAGAGAGTAGGAATCTTCTTCCCGATGGTTCTTTCCCTCCGTATGTGTTTCCTTGTGTTTTGGTATGAATTTTTTAGATGTGTCAAGTTTTCTTGCTTATTTGGAACTTTTCCAAGGAAAGACTGACTTCCAACAGAATTTCCACTTTGGATACAGCATTCATGTTCATACTGACTGGGCTTACCAGGGTTGATAATGCTGTGTAAGAATTCCAGGCATGTCAACGAGTCCCGGAATGAAGGGCCTTCACACTCCGTTTCACTTCAAACTGAGGGGAAAAAGTTGAATTTATCTCCTCCACGCCTGACGCAAATCTAGGATGTTCTCTTCCAAAGCAGCTTGAGCAGATACTGAGCAGAAAGGATGACGATATATCAACATATTGGCTCCATCATGACTTGGATGGAGGCGTTCTAGTTCCTTGCTCTTTAGGGAGAATGAGTTGTTCTCAGTAGGAAGACAGACTGACGTCAAGGGCAGCAGGATGGCCCAGATCAGGATGGCACAGCAGGGAAAAGTTGCATCACTACCCAGTAGAAAACTCAAGCTCCCACAGGGAGCCCAATCTCATGAGGATATGCATTCTCCAAAGGGAGGGCTGATCAAAAAAATGTTTAGCTGCCAAGTGTGTTTGGAAAACACTGCTTTTCTTAGAGATTCACAATGAAACTACTCAATGATCTAAACGTTCCAACAGTAAGAAGTGTATCCAACCTTGTTTAAATCACATCATTAATCACAGAACCCAAAAATATATAGATATATAAGCACATATACAAATATAAATATATACATATAACAAGTAATGACCTAATATCCATTGTCACACACTTTGGGAAATGCTAGTCCAAATTAATAATGTCACATGTTTCAGCTAAATTTTTGACTTGGGTTGTAATAAAGTCTGCCAGATAAAACACAGGATGCCCAGACATACTTGATTTTAAAGGAACAGCAAATAAACTTTTCATTTAACTGTCCCATGCAACATTTTTAACTTGTTAAATCTGACAACCTTAGCTGTGACGCAGTACTGTCAAACAAGCCTACCAGAACAAAACATGCCTCTAGCTGCCATTCTGCTGTGCACAGTGTTTACCCGTCCCTTGCAGAATTGGCCACTCCACCCTGTAACATGGCGTGCTTGTGCACCTGCTAAGTGGGTCCCCATTAGAACGAAGCCAGGTTTACCTTCTTCGGGGTAGCACTCTGGGATTCCATTTGAGCCCATTATCAGGTTGCCATCATCATCCTGCCGTTCCAGGGTCCCAGGGGGACAGGTGGGAATGGGGGTGGTGGGTTCGGGGGTGGTGGCGGTGGTGGTGGTGGTGGTCCGCACGGTGGTTCGGATTGTGGTCGTCGGGCGCGCGGTGGTTGGACGGCGGGTGGTGGTCGTGCGGCGAGTAGTGGTCGTACGGCGGGTGGTGGTGGTCGTGGGCCTTGGGGTCGTGGTGGTAGGCAGGGGGGTGGTAGTAGTGGTAGGCCGTGCAGTTGTGGTGGGGGCTTGCGTGGTTGTTTTGATGACCTCCAAGCCCACCAGGGGTTTCCCTCCAAGACTCAAAATTGGCTTATCCTGGGCACTGGCCAGGGGTGTGCCATGTCGCCCCTGCCCAAAGAGGGGGAGGCCATCAGGACTCACCACAGGGGTACCTTCCAGATCTGAAAGGAAATCAGCCAAGAGCTATGCAACAAGGTGAAACAATCCAGAGAAAATAAAAAGTAAATGTAAGTGTCTTCTCAAAGCTTATTTATCATCATATTTTAATCAGGAAAAGGCAAAGGGATAATTAAAAGAATATCACTAAGGGAGCAATACTTACCGCTATCCAGAAATTTCTGAACTTATCATATTGTCCATGACTCTGTTTTACCTTATATAAATATCTAAGTATTTCATCAGTGTTCCCCATTATCTTGAGAATAACTCTATTATAGTGTCTAGCCAAAAAAGTAATACTTTTCTCTCCTCATTCTTACTTCCAAGGATATAAAGTGCTACTTTGGACCAGAGGTGGCAAACTATTTCTGAAAAGGGCCAGGAAGTAGATATGTTAAGCTTTCTGGGCCAGATGGTCTCTGTTGCAAGTTCCCAATTCACCCTTTGTAGGGCAAAAAAGACCAAAAGATAACACATAAACAACACATGGCAATTGAGTTAAACAATGCATAAATAAACGAGTGTTTCTGTGTTCCAATAAAACCTGTGTATGGACACTGAAATGTGAGTTTCATATAATTTTCACATGTCACAAGATGTTGTTCTTTTTTGGGCAATCGTTTGAAAATTTAAAAACTATTCTGAGCTCACAGGCCTTATGACGACAGGCAACAGATAGGGTATGGCCTGCAGAGTTCTGCACACTCTTCTTCTACACTGCCCAATTTCAGGAACAAAACAGAGTGCCCCACTGTCTGGGGGTGGAGCCTGCAGGAAGAGTAGAACTAAAGCTGAATGAGGGAAAACACTAAGTTCTACCTCTTTTGAGGTTCTTCTTCCCACATGGCTGAAAGTAACTGAACCCAGGGCAACTATTAAAAGTGAGGGGAAGGAGGAAGACAGAGTTGTTATCCTACAGCTGATTTAGTAGACTATGTTCCTTAAAAATCCTTTTTCACTTACCCACAATGGTTCGACCATCGCCTCCTAGTTTAACCCGAAGAGGATTTCCATGTGAATCCTGGAGGTACCTTCCTTCTGCATTCAATACTAACCCACGATCAAGGTCCACCACCTAAATCCGTGACACAGATTAAAGAATACATTGGACATTTTGAGATGCTCACATTAGTCCAACTATATGTAGATATGCAAGAAGCTTCCACATAAGGAGGCCATAATGTGAGTAGAAGACATTCTTTTCAGCAACATCATTCATAAAGTATAAAAAATAAACTGCAAAATAGTCATGTTTCATATTACAATTGCTTATTCATATAATATGTAAAATGTTTTAAGTTTCTCAAACATACAAAGCATGTCCAAAATATTTTTACTACTAAGTATATCTTATCTACTGCTGGAATACAGGAAACAATGTGTCAATCAACTGAAGGAAGAGATTAAATAAATCATGGCCTGTCTATACAGTGAAATACTATGCAGTCAGTAAAAAGGATATCGGAATTCTACAAATATTCTATATATATACATGCGTGTGTGTGTGAACTCAGATTACAGACCTGATTGTTTTACAAAAATATATATATTCATTTTTTTATATAAACTTAAAACTGCAGAGAAAAAAAATTCTGGAAAGATATGCCCCAAACTGTTAAACGTGGTTATCTTTGAGAAGTAGTTTGGGGTTAAGAATGCTTATTTTCTTTTTCATATATTTCAGAACTGTTTTAACTTCTTGCAATAAACACATATTAGAAACATGAAACTTTTCCATTTTGCTGTAAATGTTAAAAATTAAAGTTGCTATAACAGACACAGTATAATTTGTGATACTATTGCCTAACGCTGTATGCATGCAAAAAATGTCATATTCTAAGGAACCAGAAAACTTAAAAATATCTAGGATTCTCTCTATTAAGGAACAAGCTCATGTTCTTTGCTGATAGTTCTCAAAGCATGGTACTGGACCTGAAGCCTCAGCATCACATAGGAACTTGTCAGACATTCGAATCACCCAGCCCTACCACAGACCCGCATTTGACAAGTCCCCAGTGATCCTGGGCAGGCTGACATGTGAGAACCACTGCTCTGCCATCAGGCCACTGGAGGAAGCTCTCCAAGCAGGCCACTCTGGTGGGTGCTGTTTCAGTAATTAAAGTCAACTTGATATAAACCCCGCTTTGAAATCCACCCCGTACTGTTTCAATTTAAAACTGTTTGCAATAACATCTTGCTCTAATATGCATTCTTCCTGTTATAAATTCCTGTGCCTTTGAGAAGTGGTCAACTGCATCTCTGGATCACCTAGGACTGGAAGTTTCATGAAGCCCTTTAGTATGTTTTCCTAAATCTTATCTTTATAAATGGGAAGTTTTGACTGGGAATTCCAGTATAAATAACTTGGTTTTAATTCTTTGTAAAAATATTTTAAATTCTTGAATATTGGAAAGTGTTCTGTTCATTACCCTTGACCCACCAATAACCCCTAAACATTTATCTTAACCTCAAGCAATTAAAGTCATTTACTTTAGACATACATAAAATACTAATACATAATTTTAGTCAAACAACCATTTTTGGAAGATTCAAAATATGATCTAACTTTAAAATTGCCTATATGATCCTGGGTTTTTTGTTTATTTTTACCCTGCTTCTTTTTAGAAAGGATTAGAAATAATTTATAGAAAATATGTATAATATTTGATCAAATGATAAACAAAATATAAAAATAAAATGAAGCTATCAGGACAGGCAAAATGCAAGTTCATTTGCGAGGCCATGTATCAGCTCTGGAAGTGTGGTGGGTGGGCCATCCAATAATCTGACCTTCCTAAACAGTCAAGGCAAATGGAAAGCAAAGGCCCATGCCTTACCTTATTAGCCATGAGAAGAAAACAAATTCCTTACTCAGGAGAACCAAAGATTTTGCTAAGTATTGAAAGAAACTGCATATGAGTAGCTAAAACTAGGGAAGAAGACGCAAATAAAGACCACTTATTTATCGTCACACAATGTCCACCATTTTTCTCTTCTCAACAGCATGAAAACAACTGGTATGTGTAAGGAAGTTTGCCCTACCCACTTTGTTCCTTGAGGGCCATTGATAATTCTTTGTCCGTTTGGTTTTCCATTACTACCAGGAAGGACCTGCCCTTCTCCATTTGGTCTGCCGTTGTAACCTACACAGTACAAAACATAAAATAATAGCCTGGTGAATTCAGATTCCCAGAAAGTTGGCTTCATACCGAACTCTAAGCACTAATACATCATTTCAAATAGAGATAATAAACATAATTTTAATAGCTCAAATACACTAGATAATAATAGTCTTAAACTGTGACTTATCTATGACAAATATGAATGTTTATTAAGAGTACAGCTAAGACACAGTTTTCTGTCAATCCTGGAGGATGAGAGTGTGTGGTAAATTTGCCACATAAAGCTTACAACTTTAGTTGCTGTGGTTTTATTTTAGTCCTTGGGAAGTTGGAAGAAGGAAGGGTTGGAAGGATGGAGAAAATTATCTCCAAAATGTGCTAGATATTCATCTGCTTTTCTCAGCATATTATACCAAATCCGACAACTCTTTCTAGCTGACTCAGGTCTCTATCATGAATGGCCAAGTATAAATGCACGGCATTGTCTTCAGTCTTGCTGCACTCTGGGCAGCTGTTTGAGAAGCATTTGCTCAGAGTCAAGAGAAGGAACAGCGCCCTTGAAGTGGTTTGTCCTTTCTCCACCTTATGCGAGCTGTTTCTCATCAGCAACTGGCAGCTCTGGTCCAGCCTCATTGGCTGGATAAAGTGCTTAGGATTTCTGACAGATATTTGCAGGTCAGACATTTATTTCATCCGTTCATTCATTTGTTCGTTAAATGTTTATTGCCATGGTTGGGGGAGTTTGAGTCTTATATCTATTGTCAGGGTGTTAGGTTTACTTAAAAGTCAATCTAGGGGAAAACTGACTTTGATGTGGGCACTGCTCTGTCTTTAAGTTGGACTAAAACAATAATGCACTGTACCAGTGAACAAAAAACCATTCATTCACTCAAGAATGTTCTACGAAGTCTCAATTACATGCAAGGAGAGTTCAAGGCACCACTTAACTAGACGCAAATTTACAGTAAATACCTTAGACCCTGCCCTGGGGTCCAAGTAGACCCCAGTTCATCGCTTTCATCCTCTGTTATAGAAATACAAGGCACACATCTGCCTGTGAATCCTTCGTGTGACAATTGTTTTTAACATGTACTTTTTAGACAACATTCCGCTTTTGTAATGTCTGAGCAATTCATATTCAAGACATTTGAGTTTGTCCCAGGTTTTGCTCAACTGAGAGTTTTGCATGTGGAAGAGGAGAACATGGTAAAACAGAAGATAAGCCAACCCACATATCTAATTCGTTATTGTGGACTCCTTAAATACATGCAAACAGGTGAACAACTAAACAGACTCTAAATTACAGGACGCTGGGTTTGGCATCATGGTTGTGACACATTTCCACAGATGAAGAATGCACGTCAAGGAATTCAAAGAGCCGGTATGGGATGGTGGGATGACAGAGGGCTGCAGAATTAGGTCATTTGGGAGATGGAATGGCAGCTCAGACACTTCAAAGCTATCTGATCCCAGCAAGTCACTCAAAGCCCTAAGCCCCAACTTCCTCATCCGAAAACAGGGGTAACTGCAAACCCAGGAGTCAGAGTATGGAATTATGTCACATGTGCCAGCTCTTAACACATCGCTTAGACATAGTAGACACTCAACAAAATAACATTAAAAACCTCCAGGAATTGCCATGAACACTACCGTGTGCCTTTAAAAATCAAATGAATGAATGAATGAACGAAAGAATGAATAGATAAATAAATAAGAAAGACTGTTTTTTAAAAAAACGAATTACCTTGTCTGTAGGGGGGTCTCACAGGCTGGCGGGAGAAAGGGTTCCGGAACCTGGAATGCATCATCCTCTGGCGCAAGGACAGCATGGGGGTCGTGGAGGAATAGCTGGGCGGGGCGCGGGTGGGGTACCGCGGCCAGGTGGAGGTGCCCACCACGGGGCCCGAGGTGGCAGGGCTGCGCGGCGGCTGTCGGGGAGGTAGGTGGGAAGTTCTTGGGGGACTGCCTGGAGGAGGCAGGAGCGGTCGCCTCCCGGAAGCCGCGCTCTCTTCCTGGGAGGGGCTTCCTCCGCGGTGGGCGAGCGCAACGACGGGCTCCCTCTTGTCCTTGGCGAGGCTGCCGTCGGCATGCTTGCTGCCCCTGGGGACGAAGGAAGAGGGCCACTTGGGGACAGAGGAAGACAGAAGGTCCTCCTTTCCTCCTTTCAAAAAGCCCGCGTCCTCCTCCTCCTCCTCCGAGACCGACTGCTGAGACTTGGACGGCAGAGGCCGCTTGGAAGGCGACTCGGTCCTCCCGGGGGCGGCCGGGCGTGCGCCCCCCTCCTTCTGCCCCGCCTGGGACCCTGCCCGGCCGGGGACGCGGGCTCGGGGCTGGGGGCCGCCG